GTAGGAAAATTGAAGCTGGCATTGTTGTTGCTGCTATTGCTGCTGGCAGACCTGGGTAAGAAAGCCACGTTGGCTCGAAGACCTGTGGAGGAGACTCGAGTCAAGTCCGCCATTTCTTCAGTCTCTGCACCTGGAGAGGATGGTTGAGTTGAGGTGACTGCGGCAGTCGAGTGGTTGCCGAATGGACCAAACCCGGAGAAGCCGCTGCCGTTACGTCGCCCATCTGAAGTTCTGGGCCTGAAATGCCTCAAGAAGCTTGAACCGGATGAGGAGAGCGACGGACGTGGTGCGCCCTCTCCAGAAGCAGCGCTAGGGCTACCGCTAAAGGAGGTGGACGAGTTGTGACCTGGTGAGCGCGGCATCATCGACCAATGCTGCGGAAAAGGGTGAGGTCTACGGGGAACGTCGCCCCCTTAATGATGGTAGTACCGGCGGATGATGTTTCGTGCTGACTTATGCTGACGCAGTCCAAAGCCGACGTGAATGAGGATGGATGAGGAAGACGAAGAGTGGACGAATCGATCAGCGTGGATGGCCAAAGAGAATGGTGATAATAGTGGACCAACAGCAGCGCGGGATCGCATCCACTTTCGAGGCGCGCGTGATGCAATCGGGGATCAGATGCCGAGGGCGGTGTGCGCGTGCGCGTGTGCGTGCATGCGATGCGATGTCCTAGAACCGTTATGAATTTTGATACAAGGCGACGACACCAGACTGACGTGTTCGGATTCTGATCCCAAGGTGTATGGCAGTTTTGAGTCACGGTTGAGCGATTGCAGTCCGAGTCACGAGATTCAAGTCAAGTCTGAGTTGTGCTGTGCTGTGCTGTGCTGTGCTGTGCGTCAGGTGCTCGCGCTGGGTGAGGTGTGATGGGGGTGACACGGGTGCGCTGCGATGTCGAAGCGATGCGTGGAGCAGCTGCTTGTATGCGCTTTCCAACCACGCGCTTGGCTTGCCCCTGCGCAGATCACGCTTGCGTATAGCTTTACAATTCTTGACTGTGATTGCATGTACTGTACGGTAGGTACGTACAGTAACACCCGGACTCGTGACTGGTGACTCACACTGTTGTGTGTAGCTGCCACCTGACGCATCAAGTCAGCAGCAGCACCCAACAAACTCACCACGGCTATAGCGCGTGCAGCCCGGTGGATCGGCGCGATCGCAGTCAAAATCACGCTTCTATCTCCATGCAATCGCCGCACGGCCGCACGGCGCCGCACAGCAGCGCAGCTAGCAGCAGCTAGCAGCTCGCAAGCATGACGAGCAAGATTTAGCTGCCTGGGAGGGAGATCGCTGTAGCCAAAAGCGGCGGCTAGCTATATAGGTGCAGCACTTCTGCCACGCTGGTGCTGGCTGGCACATGTGCACAGTATAGTGTGAGTTTGGCCTCCCGGCAGCCCTTTTGCCCCGCTCAGGCACGCAACGAGGTCATCATTCACTCATTCTCTTGATTTGCATCGACACGCACAACCCAACTCAACCTCACTCGACTCAACAACCCAAGCAAGGCCGTGAGCGAGCGCCTTTGTGAGCAGGTTGGGGCGGAGAGGACACAATTAGCAGCCAGGACTGCGCGACCAAGGCCCACAGGAACCACGAATTCATGCCATCACTATTCCGGTTTTTGATTGCTTGCCCAGCAGATGCGCGCACGACGTCATGCTGCGACCGTATGCTCACCCATGCATCCGACACTTGAGACTTTTTGTGCGCTTCACAAATAGCAGCCGAGATTGCTGCAATTGCCCAGGAGGCCATTTGAAGGATGTCAGTCGTGAACATACAGCAGTGCACAAGAGGGTGCGCTGATGACCATTCGGGCGACCTCATGCGACGAACGCATCACACCGAATCAAAGCGCAGGATAAAAATGGACCAAGTGGCATTGCGGACGTCTACTACGACTTGGGAAAAGTCTCGTAAAGTTCTCTCTATGGTATGCACAGAATGTAACTAAGATCTCGAGTGGAGACGACGTTGCATCGACAGTGTCCAGACAATGTTTCTGTGGCGGAAAATATCCGGAGCGGAGAGTACGGAGAGAAGAGCGCGTGGATTTGGATGGTTACGATGACGCTTTAGGGTACTTGATATGATTGTTTTGAAGAGGCCACAAATCGTGGTGCCAAAGACTTGACTGTGCCTTCAACGATCGACGCTCGACGATCAAACCATTCGCAGAGTCGCGCTGGCATCACTCGGACAAAGCCATGCCTGAGTCGGAATTGTCAGCGTGCTCCTTGGCAACGCAAGCTTGAGGTACACCATTCGCGTTCCTGTAGAAAGCGACCGCGTCGGTCTCCTCCACATACTTGCACTGGCTGATGGACTTCCACAAGCTGATGAAGACGTTCTCGTCCGAAGACTGGTAGTGCTCTCCTAGGCGTGCCTTGAGAGCCTCTGTGGCCTCCCAAGCGTGATAATGAGGAATCTTGGAGGAGACGTGGTGAAGCACGTGAGTCTCGGCAATTCCGTGGAAGAGGTAAGGTCCGACAGGTCCGAGCCACTTTCGGTCTACCGTGCAGAGAGCTCCGCGAGGGAAGGTCCAGGCTTCGGATGAGTAGTGGGGCACCACAGGGTCGGTGTGTTGCAAGAAAGTGATCATCACCAGCCAGTGGTTAGTGAAAAGGTAGGGGATGCCATAGTATGCAAAGACCTCCCCGAAACCTCGGAAGTATGTCCAAGTGCCGAGTGCAGAGAGAGCCAGAGCAATGCCCAAATCAGATATCAAGATTTGAGAGCGATGACGAGCGTCAAAGATGATGGCATCTGGGTTGAAATGGTTGGTGCCTGACTTGGGGTAGTGCAGCTGACCGGACGAGTTTTGCAACAGGTACAAAGGCCAGCCGAGGAGCTGTTGAACAACGATAAAGATGAAGTTGTACAAAGGCGCATCCTCAAGCGTCTCGACCAACCACTCGCCCCATGTCTCTTCGGACTCGGGCTTGTTCTGCTTAGCTGAGAGATCCTTGGAAGTGTCCTCGGTAGCAGCGAGACCATCGAGTTGCTTTGCCACAAGTGTTTCGTCCTCGGCATCTTGTGCAGCGGCGGCTTTCAGAGGCAGAAGACCCTTCTGAGCACGAGTGCGGGGAACGAACACTTCATCACGAGTCAAATGACCAGTGGCAGCATGGTGTCGGGCGTGAGAAATGCGCCAAGAGTGGTATGGGACCAGCAAAGCGCTGTGTAGGAACCAGCCGACAGTGTTGTTGATCGTCTTGCTGGCAGAGTAGCTCTGGTGACCGCACTCGTGAGCGATGACCCAAATACCGGTGAAGACCATGCCCTGCAGCACCCAGTAGGCGCTCCATCCTGCCCACGTAAGAGCGCTGGCTTGCTTTTCAGCGGAAATGTAGGGAGTGAGGGGAGAAGAAGCCAGATCAAGCTGGGCCACAGCAGGCTTTACGAGGGTGACCGCAGTCGCGAGTAGGCCAACAAGGATGAAATCGGCGAGCACGTACATGCTGGACTTCCAAGCACTGCGCTCGAAGCAGTGTGCCGGTATGGCAGACAAGAGGTCCTTGATCGTGAGGTTGGGTACCTTGAATTGCTTTAGCTCATCTTGCTTGTACGAAAGAGCTTGACGATGAGACTGTCTAGCGTCCTTTCTGGCCTGAGCGGCGATAGCAACGCTCCCTTTGGCGGCACTGCCCTTGCCGTGCCTCTGAGTGGCGGCAGTCAGGTTGGAAGCTGTCGCGGTTGACATTGTGAGCAAGGTGCGACTCTAGGTGAACAGTGTGGAAGAGGTACCGTGAGAGGGGCGAGCTGTGATGACAGACAAACAGGACGGAGTGAAATTGTGGAAGAACATGAAAAGTCGGATGTGTTTTATATACTGGGCGACGCACACTGAGCCAGCGCACAGGCGCGTTGCTGAGAAGAATGAGGGCGGAGTACAGCGTGAGTCGGGACGGATGGCACGGGCACACTGATGATGAGCGAGCCAACGAAAGGCGTTTTCAGCGCGGGGCAGCTGCCCAGCATGTGCTGCGAGCAAAACAAGCAGCGTGCGCGTCAGCAGTCGTCAGCAGCAGGTGAATCGTATCATACTGTGACTGTATGCATAGGGTTGCCACGACAATATAATTTGTCTCATACAGCACCTCACGACAGGCGCTCGCAACATCAAGCAGAGCCCGCCGCGTCCCGACTTTGACTCAGGCTGCCCTGAAGCCTTGATCTGAAAGACAGGTGTGCATGGCCGCGCGGCAACCCATGATTTTAGGCGCAGACTGCAGAACACGCGGCCCAAAAAGGCGCGTGCATCATGCGTGTGCGCACGCGCGCTCAGAAAGACGAAGGACACATGATGCTGGGGAAGGAGAGCATGCAACTCATGCATGCACACGACTTAAAGTTTCTCGTGCCAAGAAGGCGGCGTATGATCAGTCATCAGCCAGCAGAGGTCACCGCAATAGCTAAAAGCGTGCGATATGGAGAATCTGAATTTCAAGCCATGCATGTGCGAGGTGAAAGTCAGAAGCTGCGGTTCTGACGTGCGCCGTGGAATGTTCAATCGACGAGCCATGGAGAGCCACTGAGGAGGAACTACTAGTCACATGTCCTTCAACGTTCCGTTGACTCATGCGCTTACTCATACTCAAAACTCGACGGTCGAATTTTCTAAGCACCTCTTTCAACTCGAAGGCGCCTCCACGCGAAGCGTATTGAAATCTGAGCATCAGTAGCATGCGCGATACGTCTGCTAGTACACCAAGTCACGATTAGGATACCGACGATGCCGTTCCTCTGCGGGCGTACAGAATTGCACCTCGTCTCGTAGCTGGACTACAGCACTGGACATTCGCGATTGCTGGGCGAAGCATTCAAAGTACCGCAGTGCGGGTACGAAACGCTCTCTCTCGCTGAAGTCGAGGTATCAAAATGGAGTTCAAAAGTCGGAGAACCGGCTGCATGTTACTGTTGGTCCACAGCCTCGACAGAATCAAGTGTCCGGTGGCAAAGCGCATGCGTGACCAGCCGACTTATGACTCCAAGCCATCTTAGCGTGAAAGCTCTACTGTATCATGCACCTCGTCAATCCACTCTCTTGTGCCTTCAGGCTTTACGCGTGACTGACTTTAAGCGAGGCTGTGGGGCACCAGTCAGAGTGGAGATGAGATGATGGGATGTCGAAGGTCTCGACGTCATGTGCGCGGCGGAGCACGCGGGTTGCGCCGTCATCGTCGTGCATCAGGTGAGTAATACGCTACAGCACAGCATTACAGAGGGACAGCTAGGGACAGGAAGCCAGATTCTTGGCTGTGTGCGCGCTCTCACGCGCGCCCATTGCCGCCACCTCGCGATTCACGATTTGCTTGGTTTCTTCCAGCAAGGCATGCATGCCCATGCATGCATTGTGATTCTCGATTTGGAATTCGAGGCGCACGCCGCTGTCACGCAAGATGCTCGACGATTCAGAGTTGGGGTGCATACATCTCCCTATACACGGCCTTGCATGCATGGGTCGCCGATACCCGAGATCAAGGTCACGTGTTGTCTTGCGTCGCGATTCTTCTCGAGTTGTTCGTTGAAATACTGCTTGCCTCCACATCTTCGTGCTCGGCACTGTCCATGGCGCAAAGAAGCGCACGAAGCGCACGGAGCATTTTCCTCGCTTGGACCGCCTGGTTCCATGATCGAGTGCCGCACAGGTCCCAGCATGCAAGAGTTGCACGTCCTGAAGGGTTTGCATGGGAGCCTGGGAGTGAGGGGTCAAGGCAGCCCTTTTGGTGGTCACACTGTATGATCGCGACCCCCACACTAATCACCATCTCAACGAGCTACCCAATATCGCATTCATTGCCCTTTGAACACCTCAAATTTCTGCCAACATGTCTGCCGGAAAGATTCTTGTGGTCTTCACGAGCCACACCAAGCTGATCGGCAATGACCACCCCACTGGTTACTATCTTCCAGAGGTACGTTTAGGCCTATGATGCTGCTGTGCGTCTGTGTGAGACGTCTTTTGACTCGCAACTCTCCGACCTCAGATCGCGCACCCCTACTGGAAGCTCAAAGCAGCAGGCTACGATCTGGTGGCAGCTTCGCCCAAGGGTGGAGAAGCTCCACTCGATCAAGCATCCGTAGAAGCGTTCAAGAATGATGACGAGAGCGTCAAGTTCCTCAACGATGCCGAAGCTCAACAGTGGGTCAAGAACACGAGGAAGCTGAGCGAGATTGGCGATGGATCGGAGTACAAGGCTCTCTTCTATCCGGGCGGGCATGGTCCTGTTGTGAGTGGCGCTTCGTACCTTTTACCTCACCCATGACAATTGCTCATCCCGCACTCCCCCATCTCAGTTCGACTTGCCCGTCGACGCCGATAGTCAGCGCCTGATCCAGGCTTTCTACGAGTCTGGTCGTCCAACCTCTGCGGTAAGTTTCCAGCAGGTCAAGGATACCTGTCCAACTTAGCTGATCAGACTTCTGCGGTTCTCTTCAGGTTTGCCACGCCCCTGCCGTTTTCGCGGACGTCAAGCTCAAATCTGGCGCGTACTTGGTCGAGGGCAAGCGCCTGACCAGCTTCACTAACGAGGAGGAGGAGCAAGCCAAGCTCACCGACGCAATCCCATGGCTGTAAGTCGTGCCGTCGATAGCTTGCGTCGCATGCGCGCCCTCCATCTCATCCGATCTTTGTTGCCTTCACCCCGTAGCGTCGAGACTCGTCTCGGCGAGCGCGGTGCTACTTTCGAAAAAGCGGAAAAGCCCTGGGGCGAGAAGGTCGTCGTGGTGCGTACATGCCCCTTGCACGTGCACATCAGCCCAGCAGACGCCCATGAGCTGATATCGCTTTGACTTTGTCTGTCCGCTGTGATGCAGGACGGCAACTTGTTGACGGGCCAAAACCCAGCCTCGGCCGGCGCACTCGCTGATGCGATCCTTGCGCAGCTCAAGTAAACGGAGTGATGCATCCCCTTCCGCAATGCCATTGACAGAAGAGTAAACGGCGACATCGTGTGAAGCCCGTATCTCTCATTCCTGTGGACTGCATTCGCCATCCTTTATCGTCATCAGCCGAATCACTGGGCTGCAGCGGCGTCGTTCCTCAGTCGTTGTGATTGCTCACATGTTGAACGCTTGCCTAGCTGCATTCTCTCAACGTTTCGGGGGGCGCGCGCGATCTAGGCGCGCTTTTCGCTCGGCGTCAGAGTACTGATACATCGCAGATTGTGGGATTATGTACACCTTGAACGAGGTCGCTGTGCGCAGCTTGCTTGTGTTTGTGCGAGCTGTTCAGCGCTGTGGAGGCGGTTGAGGCCCGACACCCCAGAGCCACTCCAATGAGCCCTGTGGAGCTGGAGAAGGATCAAAAGACGCGGTGGATCCGTGCCAAACCTGTCCAGCCCAATCTTGAGCTGTGGTAGGGTTGCTCACGAAATGATGATAGCCTTGGTGATCCGTCGCTGGGCCCGTCGGCCAGAATTGAGCCATAGATTCGTTAGCGGAGTGATCTCCGTGGAGGTGCGGGGTAGCGCCTGGTGGCGGCATGCTAAACCCGAGGCCGGCACCTCCGTGATGAGGTTGGGTGGAAGCGCCATCGTGAGAGTTTGGGCCTCCCCATCCGGCGACGAATTGCTCGAGCCAGTTGCTGTCCGCACTATCCATCGCAGAATCGACATTGTCGCCGGACAGTGCTGCATCAGCGTGCCGCGAAAGTGTCGCAATTTCGTCCGTGCGCATTGATTTTGCCTGCTGATACGCATCGTGAGTGGTAACATAAGGGTGTGGGGCGAACCAGTTCGGCGTGGGCGTTATGCCAGCAGTCATGTTGATAGCTGCAGGAGAAGTGTTGGGATGATGATGGGCAGGCGAGTGTGTGCCCGCGCCATGGACAGTATTGCCGTTCTCTGAGGTTGGGCCTTGCACAGAGGCAGCGTCGATAGGCTCGCCTCGAACGCGTCTCAATGCGTCCAGGCCACCAGCGAACTTGCTGAGCATGTTCTCAAGGCCTCTCGTCATGGCTGGTGTATCTTGAACGCTATCCACGCGGGACACGGCATCGACCAGCTTCGCCGTCGCAAGTATCACCTCCTCCAACAGGACGGTAGGGCCGATCCTTGGTGCTTCTGTGCCTTTCATGATGTCTGCCGCCAGCCCACAACCCCACATGGCGTACGAACAAGTGACTGTGAAGGACGTGGAACAACTTCCACGGTTAGTCTGACCGAAGCGCCCGCGCCTGGCCTGCTGAAGCGATCACTCACCATCTCGAAGCACTGTACGACTGGCACGAAGGATTCCTACAGCGGCTGCCTGACTTGCGACTTTGCTCATTCTGAGGAAACTGGCTGTAGCCAGCCCCTCCAGTCTGGAGCGAACGCGACCTTCCACTTCGGGTGGTGCAGGTCCCTGTTCGACCAGGCTTGACATTGGTACGGTCGCAGCCACGTTCGGTTGAGCAATGCCAACTCTCACACTTGCAGACCTGCGTACTCGGGGATCCTCGCTCGCTGTGTCTTCGCACGGCAGAGGCGATACGTTATCACCGATATTCAAGCGAGCCGCGAGCATGCCTGCAGCGTCTATGACGTCTGCTTCCGTTCGAAGGCCGTAATCTTTGACGGCAGCCCAGCATCCAAGCACCTGGCCGTGCGCCAGCACTTCCAGAAAAGCCGCTGCGCAAAGACGGAAAGCATCCGGATGAGCAAACACTGGCTACATACTAGCTCGTGGTTCCCGTGCATACCTTTGAGGCTATTACGGAATTCGATGCTGCTTAGGCTAGGGGGCGGTTGACCTTCTTCCCAGCCTTCGCCAGCCTGCGTTTCCCAGTGCAATTCCGTAGGCAGTTGGGCTTGCCAGGCACTGAGAGAGACGATTGCGTGCTCCATGTCACTCGACAGTACACCACGACCTTGAGCTCGCGGAGACACGCTACGGGAGCCAACGGTTCTGGTGATGAAGCAAAGTCGGAGAATGGATTCCAGCCAAAGGGCATCGAAGCGGGAGAATCTCGGTGGTTGAGGCCCTGCGGAGGCTGGATTCGGATCGCCTGCCGACCCGGCACCAGGTACTGGAGCTGGAGCTTGGGGTGAGAAGACATTTCTCTGTGGCTGTTCGCGAGGATCCATTCCGAATGAGGTACTGAAGTCTCCGTCTCTGCGCGGAGCCCAGCGGGGCAAGTCCTGATCGTATGCATCCGCGTCGATCAAGGGCGTGCGTCGGGCTCCGAACGATCGAAACGCGTCTTGCTAATGTCACAAGGATTGGCGTTAGAATCTTTCGGCTTTTGGAGCACTCATCCCGACTGCGCCGCTCTTGACACGCACCATGTAAACGTTCCACCAAATGCGAACCCGACCTGTCCGGATGGGTGTCGCTGTTAGCGCATCTGCCATCCACACGAAGCCTCGAAGGAAAGCCTTACGGAACATCTCTCTATCATCTATCAATTCTCCTGTTCCAGTGCGCCACCTGAGGCCATCGGGAGGAGCGCCAGGTTCCGCCTTCGGCCTTCTGTGAATTGACAACGAAAACGTCAGACGTACTAAAGCCTCGTGCGAGGTTGGCTGTACGCGTAGTGGATCCGGCGAGACGCCAAGGAGACTCGAAGCTGGTCCACGATCCTCTTCATACTGATCGTCGACCAGCGGGAAGGTCGGGTCCACCAATACGTAGACCTGTAGTGAATGCGGAAGGGTCAGCAAACTCAGGCAGAACGACACCTGAACCTCTGACTTACAGCTTCCACGAGATCAGCACCTTCTTCGCGCAGGCGTTGGGTCCAGCTGACGTGGCGCAAGATCTCCGAGCACCGCTGTGACAGGCGTTGCTGAAGCTTGAACTTTGCCCTAGGATTGTCGCGAGTGACGGGAGCTTGTAGCAGTCCCGATCCAGCACAGCCAACGGCGAGGATGAGCAGCTCAGTCAAAGGTGGAAGCTTGGCGAGCGCGGGATCCATCTGGCTCGTATGCATCTTCGCTGGACCGCCCGGGTTGAAGAGCTCGAAGAATTTGGTGTATCTTGCCGCAAAAACATCGGCATGCAGTAGCGCGACTGTCGGCGTGGTAAATTTGAAGAAAGCCATGATACAGGTGTCTAACAAGGGCCGCGTGAGCCCTGGAATGGAAAAGAGTCCAAGAGGAGTTGACGCCGTAGTGACCGCTCGCGGCAATATACCAGGATATGAGCTCTGATGTCTGCGTCGAGCCTCCTCTGCAGCAGCAGCCGCTGTGGTCACATCGATGCTTGGTCCTCCACCCTCCTCGTCGGCGTCTGCAAGCGAAGGGAGATAGCTCTCGCGTCTCTGGTGTGCTTGTATCTCCACAATGCGCCTGCCACGTCGCTTCTTGGGCTCTGCCTGGGTGAAGGTGCACTTCAGGCCGTGCGAGCTGCATACACTGCAACTGATGTCTGCGTCTTGGAGGCTGCTCAGAGGCTCCCCAGTCGCATGGAGCTCAGCAATCTTCTTATCCACCTTTGCACGCCTGTCACATTTGACCTACAGGGAGCCCGACCTAGTATCAGCAAGAGGAAGGAGTTACGATCCAGTCATCGCGGCTTCTCACCTTTCTGAATTTACAAGCATCGCACGAGACCCCCTGGCGTTCAACAGCGGCACGGCACTTTGTCAGACCCTCGATGCTTGCCTCCCACCCAGCAAGCAAGCTCGAGCTGCTCGACAAGCCACCGGACTCACCTGCATGCGTCTCTGCTGCGCAAGCGATTTGGGCTTTGCAGGCGTTTCCTCTTGTGTGGTTGCGAGAGAAGAGCCTGAACCGGAAGCCCTGGGAGAAGCAGCGTTGTGACGGCCTGATGCCCGTTCTTGCGCCTCTGTACAGCGAGCGCTGACCAAGCCTCCGGGCAGTGGCTCATTTGAGGATGACCCGCTCGAAGCGCTAGGGCGCCTGCCTTCATCAGCCGAGGTAGGATCCGGGCCAGGAGATCTGGTGTGCGTCGGAGGCGAGTACAACAAAAGCGGTGCTGAGTCCGGATTTCCAGAAGCCATTATCGCAGCTATTTGATCCTCCGCTTGGCACAAATTTACTGTGAGCCAGCGCAACAGTGTGAGTGTATGGAAATGGGGAGAAGCACTCCGTATTGGCAGACTTGCTGCAGAACGATCCGCGAGTGAAAGGTGCTGGAAGGGAAGACTGGAAAGGTGATGAGGCGGCTGACTTCAACGCATGGCTTTGTGAAAGCATGACCTGCCGCAATGCACTGCTGCGACTGATAGGTCGTCTGTGGATTCGTGGGCGACGCGAACACGCTTGGTCTGGCTGCTGGTCGTCCACTCGTGATTTGATTCTTGCCAAGATGTGGGCCGGGCAATGTGGGCTTAAGACCGAGTTCTTGAGCGCTTCGGAAGTGGTAAGGCTGTTGGGACGTCGAGTCCAAAATGCGATCTGGGGGTCGATGTTGACCAGCGTGGGAGTCTCTGGAATCTGAACGGTGCACTTGGACGTCACACTTGGTGCGCGATGTCATAGAGAGGGAGATAAGTCAAGTATTGTGAAATTTGAATGTGAATGTGAATGTGA